TAACTTGGGTTCAAGAAATCTCACAGATCATTACAAGTTTACAACAAAAACAGCCTAAAGAATAGAACTTGGAGAGGATGCTAAAGCCTCAAAGTTCACTGAGCAAACCAATCATATCTTTCCAAATAAAAAAATCACTAACTTAAAATTTATAATTGTCAAGAGGACATGGGAACTAACCTTGAAAAATAGCGATCTAACTGTTGATTGGGATTCTCCAATATCCTCGTATATATTGATGCAAGATGTGCCCATTGCTGCTGTGTATATTCATATTCTATATACTTATCCCAAAGAGGGTAAGATAGGTAATCTGTCCCAACATATGCCAATGCTCGCTCGAACAGCCTACAACAAAAAGGAGAGCATGATGGGCATATAAACTTAAAATAAAGAAAACCACTGTCTACAAAAGTCTATTTTTTGGGAAAACAGCCCAAATGTTTAGGACGATGGTGAAAGCACTTAAGACCACAGGACACTTCCAAAGAGCTCAAATATGCTGAATTTACCTTCCTGTAAAAAAACTACTTCTCTGATATGGAGGTCATCTTATCTTAGCCATTTAATGCACGAGATCTCCCCAGCAGCATCTTGAAAATCGATGCTCCTCAAATAGTCAAAGTTAACAAGAACGATATTTTTTTAACTAATTGGATTACAAGATGACAGGAAATGTATTTGGGAGGGAGATCCAGGGCATAAGAGTACATATTAAAATGCAAAACACATTGCTATGAGTTTGCAAGTCAGAACTATAAAGATCTGAGGTGAAACTCCCAAAACCTTTCCACGGTACACGTAAGAGTTCGCTGTCGCAGCCACACCAAAATGGGGTTAGAGAGCAGAAAGGACCATGTCCACAATCAGAAATCCAAGCACTCAAGAGGGCCTATGCAATGACACAAACCACTAAATGGGAAATTACCTTCTAACAGTGTCAGGGTCTCCATATGTCGTAATTGTGAACGCACAATAATGCAGCCAGATATCAACAGAATATGTCACCCCTTGAACAGCTCGTTCATACACCTCCACGACTTTGTTAATATCTCCAAATCGCGCTTCATGATCAGCATACTTCTTCCAATAACCATAACACAAGGGAAACTCTGCAAGAAAAGCATCATACACTTTTCTTATTTTTAAGATATTATCCTGCAGATTAAAACCAGAAGGCAATGTTAATATATAAGTCAAAACTATCTAATTATGGAGCAACCACATTCTGTATGAATATATATCATACATCAAACACTACCAAGAATAAAAAAAATGGGGTATTGATAGGCTGATGGCAATACAACATGGACTTGCTGCTAAAAAATGCCCCTTTATCCCCTTGCACTTAAACTAACCCAATGTGCAAAAGATGTCTAAACAACTTAGCTCTCAGTCTTTGAATATCACATTGCTATCATGGAAATACGCTTTTAAGATGTAACCACTGCATATACTAAAACATTTACTAACACTCTATCTGTCATCAGCAAATTAAAGATTTCCTACCAATATCCATAATAGAGAACCCTACAACAAAAGAATGTGATAATATGCTAGAGACCTTGCCATCAATAACAGTCTACAAGCTTCACTTATGCCAATCCCCTTCTAGAAAGATTTTTTCTCAAATATATCTATCTGGATACAGAAAAAAATTGATCCAGTCCCCTTGATTATAAAAATATGCTTTCTTATTACTCTGTGTACCACTCAATTGTAACTTGTATAGAGGTTTTCAAGTTACGCCATGAACAACAGAGAGCAACATGATACATTCAACTGATTTTTTTTTTTTTTTTGGATGAAAGAAAAACATAACAAAAAAATCCGTACAAATCCACTGAGAAAAGCAACATATAATACCTGTGCAACCCTTTCTGTTTCTTCAATTAATGACGTCCATACATTGAAATCTAAAGAATTGGTTTTGACTATGCTCCATAAACGTTCTTCTTCGGCAGATAAAGCTAGAACAAAAATAAAGAGTAACATATTAGCCAATCGCAAAAAGGAAAAAGGAAAACAAAATAAGCTACTCTGTGCTACAGAAAATCCAAGATATTTATAGTGCAACAGCAGCATGATCCAATCTTCCAAATCATTGACTTAATTAGTGTTTGCAAATAACTTCATGGAAATGAATAGGCAACTTTGTGAATCGACACATACATAAGCTGTGAAACATTTCCTCAACAGAGAATGCTGAAATTAAAAAACATACCTGAACCATCCTCAAACTGTTGTTCAACTGTTGTTGCTTCCACATCATGGGAGCCAGCAGCATTTCCATTTGAAAGACCATCAACCACCCCATTAGCACTTGCATCATAAACAGCTGCCTGGTTTGGTTCCATGGAAGTGCTTTCACCAGCTACAGAAGTCGGGTTCCCATCTTCTCCAATAGAAGGCTTCGAAGTTGGATCAACTTCTGAATTCATAGCATCTAAATTAGCACTTGCCTCCGCTAAACCTTCAGCGCTCATAGGGATTGCAGCATCATCAGGATCACTTAACTTAACATCCATAGGATCACTGGAAGGATAAATATTCGTCGTATCACTCATAACAGTTGGTGGTTGAGCAACAACTGCTTCACTGTCACCCATGCTTGATATTAGAATAAGTCAACTTAAGTTATACTGCAAGGACAACAAAAACATCCTTCGTTTACACCAATAATACAAAATTCAGCATCTAACCATGAAAATCTCAAAGTCGAACAATGGGTCAAAATCATCAACTAAATCTAATGTATATAGAATATGCAGTCAGACTCATCCCTGAGCCAGGGCAGGAGGGAGAAATCTATAGTTTTCATATATCTGTCCTAACTTACAATCAAAGGGTTCTTAACACATTAACAACCATTAAATTGAACTCAGTAATCATATTAAATTCTTTGCGCTTAAGAATACGAATAATAACACAAATTCTGGCCATAAACTTTCAATTACCGTACCCAATAGTTCAATAATCCACCTTACACAAACTCTAAATTGAATTTATTCAACAACTAACACTAGATAGTGAAATAGGTACATTTATGATTAGATAATTAAAAAAAAGTTAACAATAGTTCAATAATCCACGAACCCTAAATCAACTACACTGACAATTAACAACGATTAACATTAGGTTGTGAAGTTAATATTGGATGATTAAAAATATTAATCCATATTAAAAACAACAAAATTTCTGGCTATAATCTTCCAATAATCGTAACCAATAGTTTAATAATCCACTTTAGAAAAACGCTAAATTGAATTAAATCAACAAGTAACACTAGATAGTGAAATACTTCGTAGATATTTATGATTAACAATAATTTTTTTAAAAAATTACCAATAGTTCAACAATTCAATAACCCTAAATCAACTACACTGACAATTAACACTAAATTTTGAGGTTAATATTCGACGATTAAAAAGGGCAAAAAAAAAATCACAATAGTTCAATAATCAATACACTTTTTAAAAACCCTAAATAGACTATACTGAGAATTAAAGCAACGAAAGTATGAAGCTAAACCCTAGATTGCGAAATCGATTTTCGATTATTAATAGAAACTGACCTCAGAAGCTGTTTGAATGGAGGAGAGAAAGCTCGGAAGCGCCGCTTCAATGGAGAATTGAGAGTATGGTAGATTCGAGAACACAATGAAGAGGAAACGTTAGCTGTTCTGTATTTTCTGCGCGTATTGCGAACGGCTGCTCAATGTACTACTTTAGGTTTTATCTGACTTGAGTTCGTAAACTAAGTTAGGAATGACATGTGCGGTGTAATACGTAGTGTAGTACATATCTTAAAGATACTCCAAGTCCAAAATATAATGAACCCGTAAAAAAGAAAATATTTACAAAAATAATCTTACGTTAGAGATGTCAATTAGGTAGGTTAAGGGCCAATTGATCAAATTGGTAAATAAAAAAGACCCCTAGCGACAATTTAGTAAAAAAACTTAATCCGACGATAATTTGGTAAAAAAACCTAACCATATGCGACAATTTGGTAAAAACAATAAACTCCGGCGACATTTAGACCAAAAATTCTATTTTTTCCGACAAACTTTTTAAAAACCATAATTTAATTTGTTTTTGTGATTTTAAATTTATTTTTCCTTTTATAAATTTTGAATACCTATGCCATTTCTTTTTCATTTTGCAAAATCTTGATACCAAATTTATTTCCTACCCCTTTTTAAAAACATTTCGTTAATAGAAGGTATGAAACTTAAGTGAAAATTGATACTAAACATGTAATTTCTTGAAATTGTTATTTCTATAAAAAAAAAAAAAGGATTGATAAATAACCACGAAAAACGAACTAAATTAAGTGTTCACGAGTAATTTGTTGGAAATTTTTGTATTTTTTGGGTAAAATGTCGCCTGAGATAATTTTATTTACCAAATTGTCACTTAGGGTTAATTTTTTTACCAAATTGTCGCCGGAATTATTTTTTTTACCAAATTGTCGCTGAGGGTCTTTTTTATTTACCAATTTGGTCAATTGGCCGGTAGGTTAAGTAGGAGACCCGCTCCATCCCCACCCTAGTAGAGCAGGGATGGGTCTTGGACTCTTGGTTTGATGATGGTGGGGCGGGGATGGGGATAAAAATCATACCCGTCATGGGTGATGAGGCAAGGGTGGATTTTAGGTTGTATTCGCCCTATCCCCACTTCATACTCACCTCACCCCATAGTTCATACCCATCTGCCCCACTCACCCAACTTCATACTCGCACCATACCCATATCCATATGTATTATTACATATAAATTTTGGATCCATCATGGGAATAAGGGGCGGAGATGGGGATGGGAAATCCAACATCCGCCATCCCCATCTCCGCCCCACCCCACTCCATTGTCATCCCTATTCTTACCTTAACAAGTAATCGTATTCTTTAATGGTATGATCTTTTAAAAAACTATAAATAATCTAAGCAAGCCCTATCTTTCATTTGAGAAACATGAGACGTTTCTTTATTGGCATCTATAACCCTTATAAAAGCCCCAAGCACCAAGACTGTAGCAATTTTACTGTTCCTTATGAACAGAGAATTGACGGTTTTGCCCACCCTGCCCCTTAGCACCCTTCTCTGGTTGACCAAGTTGACCGGGCTATTTCGGTCTTTTTGCTTTGACATTGCATGTTGTCTCAGTGGGCTGACGCGTGGCAATTCCTCTTTCTTTGTCGGTGTTCTGCAGCTTACTCTTTTTCTTTCTTTCCTGCTTTCTTTTCCTATTAGCTATGTCTTTCTTCCTTTTCGTTTTTCCTTTTTTTTTCTTAGTAATTTAATTGTTGATTTTTTAATGTGTGTGGGTGTTGCAGCGGCTGTGTCAATGGCGGAATTTCAAGGAGTTGGTGGTGGTGTAGTTGCGCGATTTCGAGGAGTTAATGGTGGTGTTGTTGCGCGATTTTGCGGAGCTGATGGTGGTGTATATGCCCAATTTGAAGGACCTGGTGGTGGTATTTTTTTGGATCTGGTTGTTTTGTGCTATGAGGTATTCTCCTCTTGAGTATTTGTCAGTAGGAAATTTGTTAAATCAAAATATCAATTCAAAAAGACGTGAGAAGTGTTTTTAAGCAAATCTATTAAAGCATTAGTACCATTTCAATTTACCTGTAGTATCTCATTTTGATTAAAAACATGAGTTAGCTAATTTAAATAAAATTAGAATTAGCATTGTGTAATAAAAATTAATTTCTCATATAAATTTTGTTTAAGGATTTTATAAAGAGATTATGAACGAAATACAGTGATGTCTCTTGTAAATTTGTCTTATTAGTTTATTATTTAAATATAAACTTAGCTTCAGAAACTATTGATAGGGGAAATTTCTTTTGGAGGGTTTGGTGCTGTAATGTGTATCTATGTGAATTTAAAAATTTATAGAGGGGTTTTAGTGTGTACTAAGTTCCAGTTTTTCTGAAGAGATAAAAATACCCTTTTTTTTAAGCTATAATAATGATAAAAATAAACTAGAGTATATTTCAGATGTCTTTTTTGGTTGCAGTGTATTATTTAATAATTTTTGTGGAGAAGATATTTTTTTTATGATGTACTAGAACAATTTATATGGTCTGGTTTTTTTTGGCTAATAAAATATATGGGATATGTCCTTTGCTTTATTCTTTATTATATATGTGTTCTGCATGTTTGGTTTGTTTCAATTTTCTGACTTGCTTCTTCTTTATCTTATGTCTGAAAGAAAAGGTTTGTATGTGAAACTTTGCTGGGGTAATTGGTTAATTAGATTTTGATAAAAATATAATATCATGGGTTTAATTCCTTATGGATCTCATTTGTACAGACAACATTGGATATTGACTTAATGAATCTTGAACTTTTATGCACCATAATTTCCTGGACATACATTGATGTACAATTATTTGAATTTAGAGTTATATATTTTTTATAGGAAAGTAAAATAGAACAATTACTAGAAATTAGTTGTTTATGCATTTGTATTATTTTTGAAGCATTCAATTTGGTTACATAGCTTAATTTTTTTTGCCCTTGTGTTTTTTGTTTTTCTTCTTTCTTTTTTTTTGGATAAAAAAAGGGAAAAAAAAGAATAATTGTAGGTGTATGCACTTGGAGCTGGTTGTGCTGGTAAAATTAATTGCAGCTACTGGTGGTAAGTTTATTATTATTGATTTAACTTGGAATATTATAAGGTGGCTTGGTTTTCTTACATATGTTACCTTAGTTGTTGCACTTTGATTGTAGTTTAAGTTTAGAGGATGTATATGTTAAATGTTTTTTTTTCCCGGTTACAGGTTATGGCTATTCAGTCAAGCAAAATTGCCATTCCATTTCGACCTCTTTTAGGTCAATTGATTGATTGTTTAAATTTTCCTAAACCGGTTTATGGTTTCATAGATAGGGATAGGAATAATGCTTGTGTTCGTATTAGGACTGAATGTGGGAAGTCTGAATTTGTATTTTTCGGTGGGGAAGCTAACACAGTTGAGGAGTCCCAAGAGAGAGCAGCTCAAAAAGCTGTGCAGAAATTGATGAACCAGTTTGGGGTGCGGGTGAATGATTTTACATCCGATAGAGCAAGGATGTATCAGCTATGCAGTAAGCTTTTTAAGCATAAGGTGGTTGAGTTATGTAGTGAAAAAGGGATAGTGATGCCTGGTGCACAGAAGGTTTTGGGCAAAAAACCATCTGGTGATGTTGTTCATGTGACCATTGACTTTGTAGGATTTTTAGGAGCTGTTGTTACAAGGACTGGAGCAGAGGTGAGTCCATTAGAGACTATTTGGGTTGAAAATTTGGGCTTTGTGTCCTGGCTAACAGTGTCTTGCCCACATAATGGAGGTGAAATGGAATGCATATATAGTGATGCTTGTCCTGAGTTAGCTGATGCGAGGCAAAAAGCTGCCAAAAGAACTATTCATTACTTGGTGACTAAGTATAATCTAGAGATCATTGATGCTAATTATGGTGCAATTTTGGAGAAGCATGTTGCTTGCAGTGCTCTAAAGAGAAGGTTTTACCAATTAAAGGAGCATTTGACTGCCAGAGAGGAAAACTTTGCTACTGATGAATGCTTGACTTCTACTTCTGAGAGGTTTCGGATCCCTGAGATTGGTTTGCCTCCAGCTGCTCCAGTTAAAAGACGTTCGGTTACAGCATTAGATGCAGCATCTTCTTCTACTGTTAGAGTTGCTGAACCTTTGGTTTCTGGCATACCTGAATTAGAGATTGTATGGAAGCGGGCAAAGTTTGTTTAGCCTATATGGAGACTTACATTAGTATTTTGGGTAGAAAGTTGTATGCCTGGATATAGGTGTTTAGATTTAGCATTGATATATGCTTATTATCTTTCCTTTTGTCTTAGAGCCTAGGTCTATGAGTAGAAATGGCTGAAATTTTTCATTAGAAAACAAACTTGAAGGCTGTAATTGAAATATAATGTAATGTGTATCTTGAGTAATGAATGGATTAACTTTTTATTGTAGTTCTCATGACTTCTTAATTTAATATTGCTCTTTCATTAATTTTATTGTTAATTGTATGTCTTCTTGATTTTACAATGCTCTTTCATGTTTGGTGTTAAATATGTTCAGTATTTTATCTTTTTGAAGCTACATGGAAAATGTAAATACGGGTTTTAATTATGCATTAGTTTTTCTGTTTGCAGTAAATGGTAACTATTTATGTATACTGATATTCAAATTTCGATTGTATAACTTAGTTTATGTATGTATATAAGCATGTGAGGGAATAAGGAGAAAAGGAAATCTTTAAAGTAGGATTGGAGTTAAAGGCAGTAACAAGATGAGATAATGACAAGCTTCAATGGCTTTATAAAATAATACAAAGCAAGTATTGTTAATGATATGCACATGCTCTTATTAAGGTACAAAATAATGTAGTAGATTAGTAGAATTCATTTATTTTGTTTTGTGGCAGTAAAACAGGAGGATATTGCAATTTCAAATCGAGATCAGTGTAAAATTCAGGAATTATTGTTATAGGCTTAGATCACAGAAGTTTATGCAGAACAAATATTGGAACAGGTAAACATTTTCTTGAGTTGAAGGAGATATGCAAGTTAGTGTATTAGATTGATCAAATTTGTGAGGATTTAAATTGCAGAGCCTTTTAAATTGCACCTTGTTTTTTATTAAAAAAACATCTTGTTAACTACACCTGCTGAGTATTTCTATATATGTTCTTTATACAGTTAATGACATAAACTGAGATCGTTAATAACTTGTGCAAATTGTTGAGATGTGCATGCAAATGGTTGACATGACTTGGTCTGCAGCAAAGTAATATGGGTATATCTGAAAATTTTGCATGATTCTTATGATAAGTCTTTCTATTTATATGCGCATTGCTATGTTCATTTATGATATTTATTTTATGTTCGAGTTGCTGAGTTATTGTTTTAATTGTTTATATGATAGCTGATGCACCTATTAATTTTAAGAGACCATCATTTCAAGGTCGAAAATCAAAGCGAATGAGTGCTTTGGTATCAACTCATAATTTTACTAGGTAAAATAGATGATTTAAAATAATAAAATTATTATTTTGGTGAACTAAATTCATAGGTTCTTTATTCTTTGTACAATCAAGCAGAACAACCAAGATCGAAAAAGCCTAAATCAAGACCTTCGAAATATATTGTACTTGAAAGTGGGTCATTTGCCTTACATTGAGTTACAAAAGTGAATATATATATATAGTCTTTTTTTATAAGATCTGGTTTAATTTCTTTTTGGTCATGCTACAGAGAGGCCTTCAACTCACAGATCTACACCAACAAATGGCCAAAGTTCAAAACAGCTAAGGGATGCAGCTAAAAGTAAGGTTTAGTAGTAATTTCAGTTTATCTATTTTGCACACATACATAGTTGCACAATCAAATTATCTCAAATACCCTTTAATGTTATTACAGAAACCCTTGCGACAACTATAGGAAAACCATTACCTAGGCATCCCCTAGAATTATCTCCACCTACTTACTGTGATAAGTGTGGAGCTAAGAAGTTTGAGTTTGAAACTCTACATTTTTGCTGTGGTAATGGTGATATTAAAATAGCTGAGAATGAATATCCCCCTGAATTAATGAGGCTTTTTACTTCAAGAGATGAAGATGCTCTCCATTTTAGAAAATATGCACGGTTATACAATAACTTATTTGCTTTTAGTTCAATTGGAGGTAAAACTAATAGAGAAACATACAAAGGTATATATGTCTTTAAATTGCATGGCCAAATATATCATTCTGTACCAGACTTATTACCAGATGAGAATGGTCCAAAGTATCTGCAACTTTATTTCTATGATGGGCAAAATGAATTGAAACACAGAACAAACTGCTTTCCTGAATTAAGACAAGATGTTATTGACAAATTAATGCAAGTAACTAAAGATAATCCATATGCAAGATTTTTCCGCTCTTTGAAAGAAGTAAATGTTGATGAGCGTACTAACATTATAATAAATTCAAACACTGTACCAGATCAAAGAGTATATAATGCTCCCACTTCAGATGAAGTTGCTGTTATCTGGCCTGATAGTGTTTCGTCAAGTCAGAGTTCATGGCCACATGTTCTTGTAACAGCAAAGTCTTCAAAGTCTCATCGGATTGCTCATTTTTATGGGTGCTATGATCCTTTGCAGTATCCCTTGCTATTCCCAAGAGGTGAATGTGGTTGGCATCAGGGTTTAAAGAAAACTTCTTATGGTGGAGGCAGACAAGTGGCAACTGAACCTGATCCGATACAGTCCTGCGCAGTGCACACTCCGGCAAATTTTCTAGATGCAGAAGCTGCTCGTAAGTTCTTAAAAGAATAATGGTATTATTTTTAAAGCTGTTTTTATACTTGTGTTTCCTTATCGTATGCTTAATTTGAATTTTCTCTGGACTTTAATGTTTGTAGGAGCTTCTGGAAAACATACCAAAGCTGATAAGAATATCTCTGCAAGGGAGTACTATTGTTATAAGCTTCAAATTAGACTAGGAAACATGCTGTTAAGAGCAGGCCGTGCATTTTTGCAGTATATCACAGACATGTATATCAAAGTTGAAAACACAAGGTTAGATTTTTTTCGGCAAAATCAGGATACAATAAGAGCGGATCTTTATAAAGGGATTCTAGACACTGTAGATAGTGGCCAGACAAGTGCAGCTAATGTTGGTCATAAGTTCATTTTGCCACCATCATTTATAGGAGGCCCTCGTGATATGAAAAGGAGATATCTGAATGCAATGGCTCTTGTGCAGAAATACGGGAAACCTGATCTCTTTGTCACTATGACCTGCAATGCAAATTGGCCAGAGATAAAAGAGGATTGCCACATGCTCATTTCCTATTGATTCTAGAGCAACAGCATAAGATGAAGTGTCCTGCTGATTATGATAAATATGTCTGTGCAGAAATACCTCCCGTTACTCAACCTGAGCTGCGTAAAATTGTGTTAAGGCATATGATGCATGGACCATGTGGCCGCTTAAATCCAGAGTGTCCTTGTATGAGAAAGAAGGATAATGTTATTTCTTGTAAAAATGGGTATCCAAAACAATTCACCGTACAAACAACAACAAATAAAGATGGCTATCCATGCTATAAGAGAACTGATACTGGAGAACAATTGAAAGTCAGAAATGCTCAGTTAGATAACCGATGGGTTGTCCCTTATAACCCCTATCTCACATCACTCTTTGATTGTCATTTGAACGTAGAAGTTTGTTCAACTATTAAAGCAGTGAAATATTTATATAAGTATGTTTACAAGGGACACGATCGAGTGGCCTTCAATATTCTGGCTGAAGATAAAAATTGTAACGATGAAATTGCTCAGTTTCAGTCGGGGAGGTGGGTGTCGCCATGTGAGGCAGCTTGGAGAATTTTTGGATTTGATTTATTTGAGATGCATCCACCAGTCTTACCTTTGTCAGTTCATATTCCAGACATGAACACAGTTTGTGTACGCCCTTATGAACGTCTGGATGTTGGTATTGCAAGCGGTGTTTATGGTAGGACTCAATTAACTGAGTTCTTCCGTATGAATGCAGCTACTGATAATGGTCTTGGTTACTCATATGTAGAATTTCCTGAACACTATAAGTGGGATGCTTCAGCAAAATCATGGTCCAAACGGAAAAATAAAAAATTGATGATAGGGCGATTAGCTTTTGTCGCTCCTTCGGAGGGTGAACGCTTTTACCTTCGGCTTCTATTATTGAATGTCAAAAGTCCAAAATCATTCACAGACTTGCGCACAGTTGAAGGTTATGTGTGTGCAACTTTTAAAGAAGCATGTCTAAGAGCTGGCATTTTGAAAGAGGACGATGCTGCAAGCATTTGTTTAGCAGAAGCAACTGAAATTCAGCTCCCTCGGGCTTTACGCCGACTATTTGCAACTGTTCTTATATTTTGTCAGCCGAGTAACCCTGAAGAATTATGGTTTAAATATTATTCTGCATTATCAGAAGATTTTGCACGCCAATACCCTGGTGTTGAAAACAAAGTTAAAAGATTAACTGTCAGATCAGTAGAGCAGCATTTAGAGGCCATGGGCAAGTCATTATCTGCTTGTGGTCTGGCTGTTTTAATGGAAGACACTGATAACCAGATTGATAGAATAAAAGACATTCAAGATGCTTTAGATGCTCCGATTCCTCAAAATTGTATAGAAAGTCGTGGCTTGCTTAATACGGCACAAAAGGAAATTTTTACTTGTATTATGCAGCATATCGTAGAAGGAAAACCAGGGGCATTTTTCGTAGATGGTCCTGGTGGAACTGGTAAAACGTTCTTATATAATGCATTATATGCTGAGATCCGCCTTATGAATAAGATTGTTTTACCTACTGCTACGTCTGGAATAGCTGCAGCAAATATTCCATCAGGTAGAACAGCACACTCAAGATTCAAAATTCCATTGGACAATGATGCTTCATTAGCTTGCAGTGTTTCTAAGCAAAGTAGCCTGGCAGCGTTAATAAAAGAAACAGCTCTTATAATATGGGATGAAGCATCTATGGCAAACAAGCAAAATCTAGAATCTCTAGACCTTTTATTACAAGACATATGTGATAGTGATGTGATATTTGGTGGGAAGGTAATTATCTTCGGTGGAGACTTTCGACAAGTGTTGCCTGTTGTTCCTAACAAGACTATTAGAGAAGCAGTGGAAGCAAGTATAGTGAGTTCTTATATATGGCAGCATTTGCGGAGATTCAGGTTAACTGAAAATCTAAGAGCTAGGGAAGATCCTTCATTTTCTCAGTTTTTACTTGCACTGGGAAACGGTGAACTGCAGCCCATGGAAAGTGATTTTTTTGAGTTGCCACCTCAGATAGTGCAGACTTTCCAGCCTGATGCTGATCCAATAGATGAGTTACTCGAATCTTCTTTTCCATAACTTGGTTCAGGTGCTCTGGACCCTCAAATCTTTTCAAGAAGGGCTGTTCTAACACCTATAAATGACGATGTAGATACTATAAATTCGTTCATGATTGAGAGATTCCCAGGACAAGCCATATCTTATACAAGCTATGACAGTGTCCTAGATGATAGTGGCAGCGTATATCCTACAGAAGTCCTGAATAAACTATGTCCAGGTGGAATGAGCCCTCACAATCTTGTGCTCAAAGAAAACTGCCCAGTAATATTGCTTAGAAACCTTCTGCCATCTTCTGGTTTATGCAATGGAACGCGCCTTATATGTAAAAGGTTTTTCCCTAATTTAATTGAGTGCGTGATTTCTATTGGACAGTATCAAGGGGAACATGTATTTATACCCAAAATTAAACTCAGACCATCAAGTTCTCAGAAATATCCTTTCCAATTTCAGAGGAACCAGTTTCCTATCAAGCTCAGCTTTGCAATGACTATAAACAAGTCACAGGGGCAAACTTTAGATCAAGTGTTAATATATCTCCCTCGTTCGTGTTTTTCACATGGTCAGTTATATGTGGCTCTCTCACGTGCACGGTCTGCAGATAAAGTGAAAGTTGTATCAGTGGCTCCTACTTCACAGCATTCAGAAAACTCTGTTAAAAATGTCGTATCTTAAGCTGTCCTAAAGCTAGCATGAGTAATTTAGGTGATTATACATTGTCTAAGCTTACTAAGTTGATTTTTCGAAATATATAATGGCAGTCCTAATTTTCGTGTTTTACTCTTATTTTGCAGGAGTAATCTAGGTGCTGTTAGATCATTCCTAAAATAAGCTAAGTCATGTGCAATCACTTTAGTAGTGGTCCAATGTTGAATTCCAAGTATGCCTTTTCTTTCACCTATTTGCTTGATACTAATATACTCTATTTTGCTGCAATCCATTTTAATGTGAATATACTAATTCATATATGGCATTAACTATGGGTGATATTTAATGACAATAATGGTTGGTTAGTGATTGTGGGTCATATCTTTCTTGTTTTAGATTTCTACTGTATATTATGTGTGTGTGTGTGATTGTTTTAACAGGGCTTTATGACTACTGTAATAAATTAATATGCTAATTGATTCCAATTATGCATTCTGAACTTTAATACATGTGATTTTTTTCAATGAATTCTTGTATGTGCTTTATTCTATAGCGTATGAGCAAAGATTACTTTTAGTAAATGTAGACACTTACTTTATTACTCTAGATCATAACTTGTTTTAAAATAGGTGTTTTGTATTAATGAGTTGTTGTTTGGAGAGTAATAAGTGTTTAGTTTTGAGTAAATTGCTATTTGGGTTTTCTGGCTTTGACATCACAAGGAAGGAGTGAACAGAAAATCTGTCTGGACTTTATTACATGTCTATAGGAAGAAAAAACCTAACTCAGGATTTATTGCTTGATGTTCAATTACAGATCTTCAGATGAACTAAATATTATGCCATATACTTTAATTTCAGGTCCTTCAACGGTTCAGAAGATTCCTCCGGAGCAATTTTGCTGGCATGGTTTTGTGATAACTAAAGCATTAGCCCTTAGGTTTAGAAAAGAAGTGTATAAGCATCTTGTTAATTGTTTCTTGATCATCAGGAAAACCATGCATAAATTGGTTTTCTGTCAAGCTTTCGCCTTACATATTTTCATGTAGCATACACTTATAGTGGACACAATACTTTTAATTATAATTCTCCTTTGATTATAACTGATATTGTTTAGAGCAATTAGAATGATTGATGGTTGAAATTAAACTATGTTTGCTTCACTATTTAACATTATTGGTTGTAAGAGCAATTAGAATAATTAATGGTTGTTTCTGATTTATTTATTTAGTTAAAGATCTAATGTGATTTCAAACCCTTGATTTCTTTTGCTCTATTTTGTCGTGCAAGAAGATACCCTTATTGTTAGGCTTCATGGATCAACGTCAATCTGCAAATGACATAAGCAGGTCAGTGGTTTTAATGATTTTTCAAAGGTCGCTGCTCTTATTCCCTTAATACATCATTTTTATTCATGATTATTCTTTTTTTCTTTTTATTTATTTTTCGGTTTTTTATTCCTGAATAAGTTGATTCATAATGCTATTTTAATTGTTAGCTGGTGCTTTATTTCTATTTTTATACAATTAATGGTCATATGGCTTTCAACTAAAATATCTGGTTTTGATTAGTTGGAACTCTGGTCTCACTCTTTCAGTGTAATACTAAGGCAACCATTGCAGCTCATTGCATCAAGCGGATAAAGGACAATTATGAATTCAAATTCAACAGATAGCTTAGGTAGAATCTAAAAGTTTAAATCTATTGAATTTATTTTAGACTTACTGAACTTGTGCTGTAATGCTTGGGTAGAGTGATCAATGGTGTGCTTATTCATAGTACTGGTATGTTTGCTTGTAGATTGCTGGAATAGTTTGAAGAGCGGAACAAAAGAAGAGAGTATATATTTTTTTCAGATTTCTGAGCTCTGGAACCATTGAAGCCCTTAAGAAATGTGACGCTGATAGCATCATGTGGTCTACAAGTTCGTAAATCTATGGATTCGTATATTTGTATTTATTCAATGAATTCAATGACATATTGACATGGAGTATTTTATATTCAACCTTAGTTCCCTAAGAGTTTATATTTCTGCATGGATTTTAAACTGGAGTATTTGCTTGCAGGTAGTATTAGACAATGGCATTGCTCGAGTGACAATATCTAAACCACGAGAAATTGTTACTGGACTAGCTTATAATGGCATTGACAATTTGCTTGAATCTCGAAATCTTGAGGACCATAGAAGGTAAACATTCTATATAATCAGATTTGTACAGTCATTTTTCTTAATGAAATCAATACTTCAGTCAGTCTCTATATACAATCTAGAAACAAAATTCAAGATAATGAAAGAAAAGTTGATCATCACATGTGGAATTTTTAATTTTTTCTGCTTGTTTAATGATATATTTAACTGTGAAATGTATGCATGTATTGGGAACTTGTTTAGAATGATGCTAATACACCAGGGACATTTGACATGTTTGTTCTTCTTGCCTTTTTGTTTCTTAGTTTACCCAAATTAAATGGATAAACTTGTAAATGTTAGGCTTAGTTTTACAGATTTGACTAAGGCTATTTGCTAACTGTATGCAAGATTAAAGCAACAACTTTTCAGGTGATTATGTTACATGATGATCAGGTGGAAGTTTTCTTTTGTAGACAGTGGGATCCTTCACTCAAGGGCAAGTTATTCCCATTGAATATTGATAAAAGGTAGTTGCTTTAATCTTCACCATATTATATAAACTTCTACTTTTTATAGAGCACACTTCCTCCTTTATATATTAGTACCCCTCTCTCTTGAAATAGTTGTCATGTTAATAATGTAATTAAATCCAATAATTGTTAAACTTTTAGGTCTATAATGCTTCGTGGCTCATCCAGGTCATATACCTATGCAATCTATGAGCATATGAAAGATTGACCGGGCTTCAGCTTGGGTGAAACTAAGGTCACATTCAAGCTCAATAAACGGTGGTATAAAGAAACTGATTTCTTTGGACAGGTTTCACGGCAAACCAAATTAATTAGAAGAAATTTAGGCAACAAAGCATGATATGTTTAGTCCTGAGGCTGTTCTGTTGACAAGCCCTGTTAAACCAAACATTAAAGGAGAGGTATCATAATTTCTTATCTCATGTAGATAAAAGTTGATTATGCATTGGTTTTAAGTATTTTTATGATTTGTTCGATCATGTTTAGTGAATATATGAATTGTTATATTATATAGGTTGATGAAAAGTATCAGTATTCATGTGACAACAAAGAGATAAAAAACCATATACGCTTAAATTACAGCCTACTAAAGTGAACTATTTAAATTAACTTTCTATCATAAAATAAAAGTTAATATTAAAAGCTGTACAATATTTCACATTTCTATATTTCTATATATATATATAGGTCTGCTATGATTATGACTTGTTGTAAAGCCACTCCCTTAAAAAAAGAAAAATTGTTTTCTGGGATATGGTTATCCATATATAAAAGCAAGATATTATTATTCTATTACTTATAAAAACAATAAACTTTTCCAGGCTTTATAAAGTATTATAAAAGTACAGTGAGCAGCTGAAAATCTTTACCTAAAGTATGGAATGAACAGTGTTAACAGTAAAGAAGAAAAAACTTACATTGGTTATTCTGAACTTATTACCAGAACCTTCCCCAATTACTGTATTCTAGCTATTTCCTATTTTTTAAATTTGTACTAACTCATATAAAAAGTGTTTCATCTTTGGCATTTCGTTTTTTTTCACAGAAGAATCAACCAAAGTAGCAGTGACTTACTCAGCCATGGCAGGTATGGTCCCTTCTTTTATAGATTGCTTCCATTATCCTTTAGCTCAATTATTGTTAATGTTTTTCCTATATAAATTCCTTATTGTGTACTTGATTAACTAATATTTAATATTAAATGTTATAACATTTTACATTATCATGTATAACTACTGCTATACAAAATAACATGAAAGCATTTGTATACACGGATCAAAAATACAAAACAGCTAGACAGAAGCCAGAGTATGTGTACTTGGATCAGTTAAATGTAGCATGCAAGACTTATATAGTAAGAGTAGTTGTTGCTGAAAAAGGAAGGGACACACTATCCTCCAAAAAAACAGTTAGATTCCAAACTTTACTTCTAAAGGATGAAAAGGTATGCATTTATTACTTTATACATGTAAATATCACACTAACTTTATTACAATTATGATGCAACTGAGAGAATATTCCTAACTGTAATCTAAATCATATCAAGCATTTAGGTAGGCTTAAAGAGTTATGGTAGGCTGTACAGAAATTACATTAACTACTCTTGTAATAATCATGCTTATGCTATAATCATGCTTTTACTTATGTTATAACCTTAATCAGCTCAAGGTTCAGTTAAATATAGTACACATGAAGCTAGAATATAATGCAATCCTAATTATGTTTAAATGTTCATGATTCAAGTGAAATATAAAGTATATAGCTTATTATAGTTAAATCTTTTGAGTAACCTTTTTATTCTTTTATAATATAAATTACATCAATGTTAAAATCACTTTATTTTAGCAAAAATAATGTTAAATAAAGCACATATTTTGTGGCACTTTAATTAAATCTCAAACAAAAGATGCCTTATTCTACAAATCTAATAGCAAATTATATATAATTAATAAGTTTAAGGGACCTTATAATATAGTTATAAAGCTCACCTTGTTTCACTATCATTTTCTGCTTTATAGGGTAATAGGATGCGTGGTACTTTATTTGGCGATCAAATTGAAGCATTTGAAGAAGCATTACAGTACCTAGGTGAATACGACATTTCTGCTGCACCTATTAAATTCATTGACGAAAAATGGAGAACTGAGCTTGATCAGTTTCCGTACCAAATGGCTTTTGGTAGTAGAACTGTGATCCAGCCAGTTCATCCAGAGCTCGGACCAATTATGCCTAACTATCAACCCATTGCAAGTATACCTCGTACAGTTGATCCTGATGAGAAATACGGTATATTGCACTCACATAACAGTTTCACATAAAAAAAACAATTAAAAAACACTAACAAACTTATCTGAATTCACAGATATCGTAGGTGTGGTGTTATATGTTGAAGAAGAGCCAAGGAAAATTGAAGCCAGAGATGGAAAGCGAGAGAGCTTCGTACGAGAAATAGTCGTTACTGATGAAAGGTTAAAATCAGTTCACCTAAATGTTCAGGATTAGTAAAAATAATATTTGATATATATTACAATTTGGAATCACTAACAATAAGTATTTCATGTAGCAGTTGCGATCAACCGCTCACCATCTCATTGTGGAATGATCTAACAACACCCAAATTCTTCGACAAATTACCTAATTGGGCAGAAGCATTCCAGGTTATAGGTTTTAGAGCTCTTAAACCATATACTCGCCGTGGTAAGACAAAAACTATTGTACTTTAGATCCCAGGTGATTTTTTACTATGACAAAATTAACACTATCTGTTTTATTTAGGTTTTTCAATGAATTCTGGTATGTCTACTCGAATAATCTATAAACCTGAAGGGGATCGAGCGCGTGAGCTGTCTGACTGGTAATCACTAAAACTTAGCCTAGCAAAAACAATAACCATTATAGTATGCTGATCATCTCTATAATGAATAATGTGCAGGGCTAACCTCTTCCACCAGAAGATATTAGATAGACAAACTAGAGTATTAGAGGTTAAGTACCCAGGTGAAAACAAAAAAATTGTTTCCATTGTTGAACTGAGACGGAAAAAGGTGAACTATAATTCATTACAGCCTCTTCCAAGGTTTACAACTTACTAAAAATTAAGTGTGCATGCTCTAACTGATATTTTGTGAATTATAATACATGTGTAGCCAAGCAACACCATACAGGAAGAACTTCTATGGATAGAGGTAACCATTCAGAATGCAGAATTAGAAAAAGTGCACGCGTACACAGGCTGTTCAAACTGCTGGAAAAGAACCAACCTTCCATTGCAGAAGCGTTATTCTTGCACTTCTTGTTATAAGAAAGAATGCATATGCACTGAGAGGTATAACACTAGCTCTTTTTAAACACCAACATTTTTTGTTGATATTGTACCTAACAAAAATTCCTGTGAGTTCATGCCAGGACAACCTTTAAGTTTGAGGCTAGCGATGGCACAGGCACTATGGCATTCACCACTTTTAACGATGACACAGAAAGACTGTTTAGGAGAAGTGCAGCTGAAATTTATGCCATAAAAGAAGCGGTAAATTACAATTACCATGTACCTACCTTTTAATTTTTGAAACAGTTTATATATGCCATGTAAATTTCCAAAGAATACTTGAAAGTTCTTATTTCATAAAATTAAAATTATAAGTAAAAAAATTAATAAGATTAAATAAGCTTAAGATACATCTAGAATATAGATTTTCCAATAGACAATCACCCATGAGATGTTTAAAGGTCCAGTAGACTTGAAAAAGTCAAACACTCTTATCTTATGCCTTAGAAACCAAGAACACAAAAAAACCATTATTAGCAAAATTGTCAACGGTTAAAATGTCATGCCTCAATTGACAATGAATTGTTGAGTAATGTTGCTAATCAGTCCCGCATAGAAAGATTTATAAATAAAAAAGAAAGGTAAAAAAAAAAGGCAGAAAAGAAATATAGTCATCTAATTAGATAATATTAGTGTAATACACAGTCAAAGTTATATATTATAATATTTACAAATTTTGATATAATACTAATACTTGCCATGATGATAAATACAATGCAGGATGACCACAATGCATTCGAGGCTATTCAAGACATGCTTAGCAGCAAACCGTTCTACATTAAAGTAGGACCTACTTCGCATTTAGGCCAGAACAATGTTCTAGAATGGACTCTCAAGGGTATATAACTTAAGGAAGAACCTGAGACACCAGAAGTTTTGTAACCATTTGAAGGCACCTCCAACCAAGCAAAAGATGCAAATGAAAAGGAAAAACATCAATCTATGGAACAAGGGAATCCAGAACCAGTCATTCCAACCCCAAACATGAAGGGTTCTTCAGAAAAACATACACAAGATAGCCCTTTCACTCAAACACTGGAGTTAACTCAAGGAGATATCGAATCGCTTAAGCGAAAGAAAGCTTTAGGGAAAACTCCTGTCCAATTCCAAGATGAGGAAACTGAATACGAGCCACCGCTATCACAATTCCGTGCAAAAAAGAAACTTTGCTTCGGCGGAATGACTCCAGAGAAGAACTAGACAGCCCAAGAACCAGAGATATCACCAAGAAAGGATCAAGCTCAAGATGAAACTGTCCCCCTGAAAACTGACAAGAAGGAAGCCAAACCTGTAACTGTGAAGTCTGAGAAGCCGAAATAATCTTCCATCAAATCTGCCACGACAAATGATAAGGTGGTGAACTACAAAAAATATACATAATAGCCTAATGGAGTACTGCAGAACAACAATCTAAGGTGCACTACCTGCACATCATCTAAGTATTAAATATTTTGCTAAATTACAAATATATGGACAACTATAAGAAATTCTCTTTTGCTCAGAATGCTAAGCACAATAGATAGTTTCCCATGTATTTACATAAAACTCCAGCATCGTGTAGTAATTAATCTTCAACTTACTTTCAAAATTTCATGTATATAGAAGTAAGATGCTGTAGGAGTTGCTCTTTTGAGGGTTTCCCAGGAACAGTAACAACAGTTAGTGTTCCTGGCAAACACCATAATTAGATCAAGGTCTAATGTATTGCTATATTACAAGAGATGTTAAATTATATCTATAAAAATATAGTAGTTTATATATGTGGCTTATTTGAAATTTATTATTATACTGTTTTTTTAAAGAACCAAGTGAAATTATAAAAAAAAGGGATCATGATAAAGAAAATAATCATCTTATGAGAATTCATACTTAATTTATAAAACATCAATACAGATAAATCGCATAAGCCATAAAGTTCAACAATAAAAAGAAAGAAAGGAAAAATTCACAAATAAAAAGAAAACACATAAAATTTGTTATTAAAAATATAAAAACCTAGACTAATGTGTAGAATTAAAAAATAAACAAAGCTAATATGCTGATATTGTTAAAGCAAACAGAAAAAATAAGAGTTGATATGCTATAAAGGTTTCAATAACATGACTAAAGCTGAAACAACAAACATAAATTGTCATACACTAATCTTTTTATTAGGGAAGTTAAAATAACCTTCTGCATAGATTATTATCATAAAAAACATTACATTTTAGAATATCTCAAATCTTCATTTATTATTACAACTCTATTTCTCAAGCATTGCAATAACCTATCACTAAAACAACGTCTAAAGAAACACAATCTCAAGCACAATCGGATCACCATCTACAATCACTTGCGAAATTCCACCCATTAACCTACTATGAATGTTTCCATTCAATCGGGAACAAATTTCGACAACAGAATCCCATCTTCTATTTCCAAATCGCATTTGAATTACAGTCCGCATATTGACATGATGAAACACTTGATTACCAAAGGCTACTGGAATTTCCTGCGAATGAACACATAAAATGCATTAGATACAATAAGATCACTTATTTAAAATTTTATATTCATAACTTAAATAAATAGAAAAAGACACTAACCAAAGTATCTTCTTCATAGCATGTTGGTGTAATTACCCAAGGGAACCATGGCTGATTCCCAATTCCTAGGGCAACAAGAAAATCATCACTAGAAGAACCATTTCCACCACTTGACATAGACCTATGTAGAGGTTCTAGAGAACCAAACCTTTCCACCATT